CCTAGGCAAAGCCTCTGGTTTTTCCACCCACCACATACTCACTTTGGCACACAGAAGGATGTCCAAGAAATCCAAGTGCCTCTTCTGCCTGATCTTCTCCAGCTCTCCCTCATTCTGCAGCTGAGCCTTCCTTTGCCTGATCACTTGATCTGTCCCAGGATAGGAGTTACCAGGTAGAAAACACAGCTACAGCAACCCCTAATAAGCCATTTTACCCCATGACAATCTGGGTGTCCTGTGGAGCTCAGGATGCACAGGTGAGTGGGTGTGTGGGAGACTAGCACCATCTGATGCAGGCCAGGCCTCCCTCCAGAACATAGCCATGGGAGTCCCTGTTGAATGCTGGTGGGATAGGTCTCATTCAACACTGCTTAAGTGATGATACTGGTATTGTGCTGTACCTGACACACTAACATCTCAGCTCCTAACACTTTCAGAAAGATAGTGTCCAGCATGAGGGTGTCCTAGTTTCTTTCCATTGTTAGCAGATGTCCTGCCTCTGTCTCAGGGGCCATGGCCCTACCTCTTAGACTGAACCTGGTAAAGGAAAGTAGACAGGATTAGAGACAGAACCTGTGTGCTCATGGGCAAGCTGGCAGGCATGGTGGAACAAGCGGCCATCAGAGGTCAGTCTGTAGATGGTGTCGTTCTGGTGAAAGACATTCCTCGCACGAGATAAAAATAGGTAGTTCATATCCCCAACAGCCTGAATGTAGGACTTGGAATTCCTGATGGAGAGATTGCAGCACACATCATACTATGGGGCCACATGACCTGGAAGCAGTGTGGGTTCTATATGGAGATTACTGAATGATTGGGACAGACAACACTGACACCTTATATCTGTGTTACATCCCTTATGAGTATTTGTTGAGAGCCACAGCCGAGTCGGAATGGCCCCTGGCATTTTGCCAGAAGTAATGATTGAGAGGCAAGCCATTAAGATGATGCTGGATTGAAACAGGTTATATATTCAATTGTATATAGACCCCTGCTGTCCGCCTCAAGTGCCCGCTACTTTGGACTTCTCGCAGGGATGCCTGGGGAGTTCAGCGTTGGTTGGCGAAGTTCTGGTGGAGGGAGTTCTGGTTGATGTGTGGTGCCTAGGAGGGCCGTGTGGGTGGCGTTCGCGGGAGTTCGGAAAATAAAGTTTTTTCCTGCTTGAGTGGCTTGGGATTTGTGCCCAGCCAGACTGTGGCAAGCATTGGGACTTAAGAAGATGACACAAGCAATCAGACTTCTACTCCATTCAGGAATCAGGGACCTGTGGATGGGCATGTTTGGGTCTGCTCAGGAATCAGGGCTTGGTCTGGGACCAGAATAAGAATCTCTCATTTTAATGTGGTAAATGTCCAAGATGCATCACTCAAATCTTGGGTAAACTTACACCAGTTGATTAGAACAAGTATCCCTTACCTCATGGGTTTGGCACTGACCTCTCCTGCTGGACACTGCCCTGGTGGCTGAAGGCACACTTCATGATGGTGTCCAGGGTCATCAGAGAGACATGCTGAAAAATCTCCAGGGAGTTCTGTCCAATAAGCTGCTCCCATTTGTCCTGGGGAGGGAGAAGGTCATTATCCTATTCAGTTCTCCAAAAGACGTATGCTTGTAGGGCTAACCTCTTTCTCTGCATCTCCAGGTATTCTTTCCTGAATCTCAGAGTCACATGCATTTTTGCAAATTAAGATTATGAAGCAAATATTTGTACTCCGATGTTTTCTCAGAAATTTTTATAATAAAATGAAACAAATATTTACATAATATATTATTAATTTAGAATTTTGGACAATCATTTATGACCATTCAATTACTAAAAAAGCTCATAGTCCACCATTTAAATTTTAAATTCATGAGCTAGACTTAAAAAACTGGCAGAATACCAAATATGAGGACAAGAAAATTTCAAGCAAATAGAACCTCTAGGACTCATGAGCCACATATTGAAAATAAGTCTTTTCATTATCCTTCAAAAAAAAGTTGCTGAGCACTGTTAGATCATTCATCTGAGTTCTAATGGGTATGATGGAGGGGCAGGTTCACTGTGAGATGTGGATCTGGTGTCCATATCAATTCATGGGTCACTCAAGTCCACATGAAAGCCCTCAACTCCACCCTGAGAGAATCCTACCCAGGATCTGCAGTGCTACTGAAGATGCCATTGCACAGGCCTGCTGTCAAGCTGGATCAACTTCCCCTGTAGTCCACTGTGCTAAAGACTTGGAAGTAGGAAGGGGAGTCTATATCCACCATGATGCTGTCTGCCTTAGACCATAAGGAAGTGACCATATCCTGCTGCCTGGGTCCAATCTGCCCCTTCAACTTTTGAAGAACTGGCTCTCACAGTAATGGCCTGAGATTGTTGTTCTATGTGACTGTCTTTGGTGGCTGTTAGGCTGTGGAATCTGAGTGTGGGCTTTGAGTGAGTGAATGAGAATGAAAGAGAGAGACTCACCAGCATCACTCTGACAGAGTCAGCCATGATTCCCACGTAGGGCTTCAGGATGTCATAGTGGAAGGCTGGGGTCAACATCCGGCGGTGCTGGAACCATGTCTCCCCATTCAACAGGAGCAAACCGTACCCTGGGCCATACATGGTTGTGTACATGAGTGAGTGGACAATGGGAGGAGAGGAAGTCTGGGGACAATGTGGGAGAGACTGATGGTGGGACTCGGGTAAGAGACCCAGAGGGCAGAACATCTTTGGACAAAGACAGAAATGACTGGCACTTTTCAGGAATATGAGTTTCCCAGTTGGGCTGGTATATCTGTTGTGATTATGACAGCTGCAAAGGAGATGTAGAAAGGGGTTGTGGGCCAGAGAAAGAGGTACCCAAGTCCATGTCAGGCTGAGGCTGTTTGGAGTTACCTAGAAGGAGAGGTGGAAGCAGTGAGCCTCAGGAGGGCTCACAACAGCTTGCAGGAGGGGTGGGGTTCTGTTTAGATTGAAAGACACTTCTCAGCCATTAGAGAAATGCAAATCAAAACTACTCTAAGATTTCATGTCACTCCAGTCAGAATGGCAGCTATTACGAAGACAAACAACAGTAAGTGTTGGTGAGGATGTGGGAAAAAAAAGGCACATTCATACATTGCTGGTGGGACTTCAAATTGCTACAGCCAATATGGAAAGCAGTATGAAGATTTCTTGGAAAATTGGGAATGGAACCACCATTTGACCCAGCTATCATATTCCTCAGTTTATATCCAAAGGACTTAAAAACAGCATACTACAGAGACACAGCCACATCAATGTTTATAGCAGCACAGCAATAGCTAAACTGTGGAACCAGACTAGATGTCCTTCAGTAGATGAGTGGTTAAAAAAATGTGGCATTTGTACACAGTGGAAAGTAATCAGCAATAAAATAGAATAAAATCATGGCATTTGCAGGTAAATGGATGGTGTTGGAGAAGATAATGCTAAGTAAAGTTAGCCAATCCCAAAAAAACAAATGCCAAATATTTTCTCTAATATAAGGAGGCTGACTCATAGTGGGGTAGGGAGGGGGAGCATATAGGAATAGATGAACTCTAGATAGGGCAGAGGGACGGGAGGGAAAGGAAGGGGGCATAGGGTTAGAATTGATGGTGGAATGTGATTATCATTATCCAAAGATACATGTATGAAGACAGGAATTGGTGTGAAAGTACTTTATATACAACCAGAGATATGAAAAATTGTGTTCTATATGTGCAATATGAATTGTAATGCATTTTGCTGTCATATAGATTTTTAAAACACTAATTAAAAAAGAAATGAGACTTCATTTAGTGGCAATCATGGTAGTGACCCATCAAATCTTGTTCTGTGTGAGTCAGAGAGAGATTTTACCAACCCTAATTTCAAGTGCCCACTTTCAGATGTACATACCAATCCAGGGAGCCACAATTCTGTATGTATTATGAGCCTTTGGATCTGAAAAGTAAGTAATGGGATTAATTACAAGAAGGAGACAAATAATGAAGACCCAGGGCCACTGTGATTGAGGCCATGCACTGTCATGAATGCCTGATGACTGTCAGTTGGCATTTGATTCCATATCAACTCCTACTTCCTCTCATCCCATTCTGTCTCTGCTACAACAGCTAAAGGGCTCAGGAAGACATGGACCAGAAGGACTGCAATGAGAAGCTGACAAGGAACATAGGACATGTTCTCAATGACAAACAATATGACTGAGCCTTGGAGTGTTCTCACAATGAGTGATGGCTTAGTTAGCCCATTATTAAATAGGAGGAGATTAGAGGTTTCAAACCAAAGTTAATGTGGAGATGAAGAATGCTTTTTGGAGATAAACCAATACACCTAACGGATCAGGCCAATATACCTAAGAAATCACCTCAAAAGATACAAGCTGATATACCTAAGTGATCACCTCAATAGTTTTAAAAGAGACAGAAAAAAAAAATGACATAAAAATCATCCCCCACCCTCCCTCCCTCTCTCTCCCTCCCTCTCTGTCCCTCCCTCTCCTTCCCCAATAGATGCCACTCACTTGCTGCCTCCCTTCCTACTTCCTCCCTCTGCCACCCGAGCACCAGCCCTGCTCCGAGCTGCCCCTGGGGTCCCTTCCCCGCCAACAGAGGAGCAGCTAATGTGGCCGCCAGCAGCACATTATCTCTTCCTCCTTCTATTCTCCCGCCCTCAAGTCCCCAACATGTGTGAAACCAAGTACTTTGCATGAATTAGGATACTGAGAACTGGGATGTATGAATAGTATATTACAGTTGTGTTGTGTATTCTTTTTTTCTTCTATTTTTACATTTTTTATTTTTCTTAATATTTATGTCTGTTTGTTTTATGTACTCTACTGTCTTCCCACTTACTTCTCCACCCAAAATTACTTCCTCTCTCTTCTCCTGCTACTAACCTTCTTTAGATTCCTCTCTCACACTTTCTAAGATACAATAATTCCATATCCTCACCTCCTGCCTCCTCAGCATATCATCCTAAATTTCACCCCCAGTTCTTTGTCCACCATCAAAAACTGTAAATACTTTTGCAAACCTAGTGTTCATATTGCAGAAAATAACTGAACTTCTGTATATTGTATATCAGTTACAATATACAATACTTTGTATGTTGTAACCAAACTGTAAACCTCTTAATAGCAACTGTTTGGTTTAAGGTTGTATATTGTTTGTATTGAGATCTTTACCATTGTCCTTCCCCTGGAAGGAGAGGTATTGGAACCCTGTAGGGGCACTATAAGCCTATAGGGTAAAATGGAAATTCCTCACATCTGCATTGTTAGAAGGGAAGACACCCAAACAATATGAAAAAATAAGGGAAGGAAGTGCCCCCAAACAAATCAAGATACTACATTATAAGAATCCATGGACAGCACAGCAGAAGAAATTACAGAGAAGGAGTTCAGAATGTATATAATTAAAATGTTCTGTGAATTAAAGGATGATATAAGAAAGCAAATGCAGACAGCAAAAAATCATTTCAATAAAGAGTTACATAAACAAATATGGGAAGCAAAAAATTACTTCAATAGGGAGATAGAGGTTCTAAAAGAACAATCAGAAATAATTAAAATGAAAGAAATAATAAATCAAATTAAAAGATCAGTTGAAAGCATCACCAAGAGATTAGACCACTTGGAAGATAGGACCTCAGATAATGAAGACAAAATATATAATCTTGAAAAGAATGTAGACCACACAATGAAGATGGTAAGAAACCATGAACAGAACATTCAAGAAATATGGGATAGCATATAAACACCAAATTTAAGAGTTATTGGGATAGAGAAAGAAATAGAGTTCCAAACCAAAGAAATGAACTATCTATTCAATGAAATAATATCAGAAGATTTTCCAAACATGAAGAATGAATTGTAAAATCAAATACAAGAGGCTTACAGGACACCAAATGTACAAAATCACAACAGATCCACACCAAGGAACATTATAATGAAAATGCTTAGCATACAGAATAAGGAGAGAATTTTAAAAGCCATGAGGGAAATGAATCAGAATACATATAGGAGGAAACAAATTAGATTTTGAGAAGATTTTTCAACCCAGACTCTGAAAGCTAGAAGATCCTGGAACAACATATACCAAGCTATGAAAGAAAATGGATGCCAACCAAGAATCTTATATCCAGCAAAATTATGCTTAAAATTTAATGATGAAATAAAAAAACTTGCATAATAAACAAAAGTTAAAAGAATTTACAACTAGAAAGCCTGCACTATGAAACATCCTAGGCAAAATATTACATGAAAAAAAAATGAAAAACAACAATGAAAATCAGCAGAGGGAGGTCTTACACTAAAGGAAAAACTAATCAAATGAGAAACCAAGTCAAGTTAAATACTAAAAACAAACAAAAAAGGCTGGGAATATAAATCATGTCTCAGTAATAACCCTGAATGTTAATGGCCTAAACTCACCAATAAAAAAACATAGACTATCACCTTCCACCATCCTTGCTATTCCCCTTCCCCTCCCTTTCCCTCCCACCCCTTTTCCGTATCTAGAGGTAATCTTTCTCCCATGCTCTCCCTCCCTACACCACTTTGAGTCATGGTAAGAAAAAAACATAGACTAGCATATTAGATTTTAAAAAAAAGACCCAACAATATTCTGCCTTCAAGAGACTCATCTCATAGGAAAAGACATCCACAGACTGAAAAGTTGGGAAAAATCAGACCACTCACATGGACTGCAGAAACAAATAAGGGTTTCCAACCTCCCATCAAATAAAGTAGACTTCAAGCCAAAGTTAATAAAAAGGGATAAAGAAAGACATTTTAAACTGCTCAAGGAAACCATACACCAACAAGACATAACAGTTATAAATATATATGCTCCCCAAATTGGAGCATCTACATTCATCAAACAAACTCTTCTCAAGTTCAAGAGTCAAATATACCACAACACAATAATTCTGGGTAACTTTAACGCTCCTCGTTCACCTCTGGATGCATCTTCCAAACAAAAGCTAAACAAAGAAACTATAGAACTCAATAATACAATCAATAACTTAGACTTAACTGACAAACAGAATATTTTATCCTTCAATGAGCAAATACACTTTCTTCTCAACAGCACATGAATCCTTCTCTAAAATAGACTATATATTATGCCACAAAGCAACACTTAGCAAATACAAAGAAATAGAGATAATACCCTGCATTCTATCAGATTACAAAGGAATAAAATTAAAAATCAATGATAAAATAAAAAATAGAAGCTACTCCAATACCTGGAGATTAAATAATATGCTATTGAATGAAAAGTCGGTTGCAAAAGACATCAAAGAAGAGATTAAAAATTCTTAGAGGTAAATGAGAACATTGATACAACATATCAAAATCTCTGGGACACTATGAAAGCAGTAAAGAGGAAAGTTCATTGCATGGAGCTCATTCCTTAAAAGAAGAAAAAGTCAACAAATAAATGACATAACATTACATCTCAAAGCCCTAGAAAAAGAAGAACAAATCAACACCAAAAGCAGTAGAAGACAGGAAATAATTAAAATCAGAGCTGAAATCAATGACATTGAAACAAAAGAAGCAATTCAAAAAATTGACAAAACAAAAAGTTTTGTTCTTTGAAAAAATAAATAAAATTGATAAACCCTTAGCCATGCAAACGAAGAGAGGGAGAGAGAAAACTCAAATTACTAACATCTGTGATGAAAAAGGAAATATCATGCTGGACACTATAGAAATACAGAAGATAATTAGAAATTATTTTGAAAATTTGTACTCCAATAAAATAGAGAATATTGAAGGCACTGACAAATTTCTTGAGTCATATTATTTGCCCAAACTGAATCAGGATGATATACACAATTTAAACAGATCAATTTCAAGCAATGAAATAGAAGATGCCATCAGAAGCCTACCAACCAAGAAAAGCCCAGGACAAGATGGATACACAGTTGATTTCTATAAGACCTCCAAAGAAGAATCAATATCAATACTCCCAAAATTATTTAATGAGATAGAAAAAGAGGGAGCACTTCCAAACTCATTCTATGAGGCCAATGTCACCCTGATTCCAAAACCAGGCAAAGATACATCAAAGAAAGAAAAATTCAAATCAATATCTCTAATGAACATAGATGCAAAAGTTCTCAATAAAATTCTTGCAAATCAAATACAAAAACATATCAAAAAGATAGTGTACCATGATCAAGTGGGGTTCATCCCAGAGATGCAAGTTTGGTTCAACATACAAAAATCAATAAATGTAATTCATCACATCAATAGGCTTAAAGATAAGAACCATATGATTATCTCAATAGATGAAGGAAAAAGCATTTGAAAAAATACAGCACCCCTTAATGTTTGAAACAATAGAAAAACTAGGGATAATGGAAACATATCTCAACATCATAAAAGCTATCTATGCTAAGCCCCAGGTCAATATCATTCTAAATGGAGAAAAATTAAAAGCATTCCTTCTAAAAAAAAACAGGAACAAGACAGGGATGTCCTCTTTCACCATTTCTATTTAACATAATTCTTGAAACACTAGCCAGAGCAATTAGACAGATGAAAGAAATTAGAGGGATACGAATAGGAAAATAACTCAAATTAGCACTATTTACCTACAATATGATTTGATACTTAGAAGACCCCCCAAAATTCCACCAGAACACTTCTAGAATTAATAAATGAATTTGGCAAAGTAGCAGGATATAAAAACAACACTCATAAATCAAAGGCATTTCTGTACATCAGTGACAAATCTTCAGAAAGAGAAACTAGGAAAACTATCCCATTTACAATAGCCTCAAAAAATTGAAAATATTTGGGAATCAACTTAATGAAAGAGGTGAAAGACCTCTGCAATGAAAACTACAGAATACTCAAGAAAGAAATTAAAGAAGATCTTAGAAGATGGAAAGATCTCCCTTGTTCTTGGATAGGCAGAATTAATATTGTCAAAATGACTATACTACCAAAGCACTATACAGTTTCAATGAAGTCCCAATCAAAATCCCAATGATATTCCTCATAGAAATAGAAAAAAACAGTCATGAAATTCATCTGGAAAAATAAGAGACCCAGAATAGCTAAAGCAATCCTTAGCAAGAAGAGTGAAGTGTTAGAGTCTGTAAACAAGTCAAAAATAACACCTGGCATTTTGCAGGGGAATGTTAGAGTTCGTAAACAAGTCTGGATGGTGCCTGGCAAAATGCCAGAGGGAGTGGTTTGAGAAGTAACAAAAACAAGCCATTAAGTGTGGAGATTCCTTATTGGTTGACTGATGTATCTAGTTTATGCTAATTAGATAAGCTGTGTGGAATGTATAAATACCGCTCCTGTCCTGCAATAAACGGCTCCTACTCCTGCTGTATCAACGAACACAAGTTGTTCGTCACCCCCCGGTTATTTTGCTGCAGCCGGACTGCAGCAGTGAAGCAGGTAACATCACTATACCAGACTTTAAACTATACTACTGAGCAATAGTAACAAAGACAGCATGGTATTGGCACCAAAATAGACTGGTAGACCAATGGTACAGAGTAGAGCACACAGAGACTAACCCCCGTAATTACAATTATCTTATATTAGACAAAGGTGCCAAAAACATATATTGGAGAAAGGATAGTCTCTTCTACAAACAGTGCTGGGAAAACTGGACATCCATATGCAACAAAATGAAATTAAGCCCCTATCTCTCACCACACACAAAACTCAACTCAGAGTGGATCAAGAACCTTGGAATTAAACAGAGACCCTGCACCTAATAGAAGAAAAAGTAGGCCCAAATCTCCATCAGGTGAGATTAGGCCCTGAATTCCTTAATAAGACTCTTATAGAGCAAAAGTTAAAATCAAGAATCAATAAATGGAATGAATTCAACTGAAAAGCTTCTTCTCAGCAAAAGAAACAATCAGTGAGGTGAATAGAGAGCCTACAGAATGGGAGCAAATTTTACTACAAGTTCTACGTACATCAGATAGAGCACTAATCTCTAGGACATATAAAGAACTCAAAAATCTTAACACAAAAAAAAAAAAACCAAATAACTCAATGAATAAATGGGTCAAGGGACCAAACAGACACTTCTCAGAAGATGATATGTATATCAATCAACAAATATATGAATAAATGGTCAACATCTCTAGCAATTAGAGAAATGCAAATCAAAACTACACTGAGATTTCATCTCACTCCAGTCAAAATGGCAGCTATTAAGAATATAAACAACAATAAGTGTTGGCGAGGATGTGGGGGAAAAGGCACACTCATACATTGCTGGTGGAACTGAAAATTGCTGCAGCCAATATGGAAAATAGATCACTCTCACCCCTAATCTCCCCAGAATCACCTTCATGTATTCAGGGTCATATGGAGATTCTTTTTGGAAAACTGGGAATGGAAACACCATTTGACCCAGCTATCCCACTCCTTGGTCTATACCCAAAGGACATAAAAACAGCATACTACAGGGACACAGCCACATCAATATGAATAGCTGCACAATTCACAATAGCCAAACTGTGAAACCAACCTAGATGCCCTTCATTAGATGAATGGATAAGAAACTGTGGTGTGTGTGTGTGTGTGAGTGTGTGTGTGTGTGTGTGTGTGTGTGTGTGTGTGTATGCAGTGGAATATTACTCAGCAATAAAAGAGAATAAAATCATGGCATTTTCAGGTAAATGGATGGAGTTGGAGAATATAATACCAAATGAAGTTAGCGAATTCCAAAAAAACAAATGCCGAATGTTTTCTCTGACATAAGGATGCAGATTCATAATGGGGTTGGCGGGGAACATGGGAGGATTAGATTAACTCTAGATAGGGCAAAGAATTGGGAGAGAATGGGAGGGACATGGGGGTAGGAAAGACACTGAAATAAGATGGACATCATTATCGTAAGCCCATGTATGAAGACAGGCATGGTGACTTCCTTGTGAACAACTAGAGATATGAAAAATTGGCCTCTACATGTATAATATGAATTGTAATGCATTCTGCTGTCATATATAACAAATCAGAATAAATTAAAGAAAATAAAATAAATAAATAGAAATCATTACCCCAAACTGTTCTAAATGTCCACTATAAAGTATTATTGCCCATATGCTAGGTGTATCCAGGGAGAATAGTAAGTAGATAATTCAGACATTTATTTATAAATGGCCACTTTTTTTATGGACTTCCACAGACACAGGTATGATCTCAAAAGAGAAAAACTGAACCTGCTGAGAGGGAGTTCACTCTCACCTGATCTCCCCAGAATCGCCTTCATGTATTCAGGATCATAGACGAGGACGCGCACTTTGCTGCCCCACAGCCATTGTGGGAAGGCACTTGGGAACTCATTAACCCACTTCAGAATGTATTGTAGCTCCTGGTCCTTTGGGATCTGATATCAGGGGAAAGACAATGCTTTAAAAATCATCTTTTATTTCTGGCTTAGGGACTGTAGTGAAGGGCAGCATAACCATCAGGACATATTTCTGGATCTTTCAGCAGAACTCAGGATTTTGGAGCTGTTTCTGCTGACCTATGTGTGCTGTCTTCAAGACCTTTGCTGTGCCCAAGCTGGATCCTGTGGCCCTGGAGA